TTCGAGAAAAGTTCTCATTCTAGTTCACCATCAGTTTAAGTTATCAGCTCATAGTTGACTTATATGCCCAAATACGAGCTTAGTAGAGCCACAAACCTTCAGCAAAGTCCAGACTGACGCTATACAACATTGCGCTATGGCAATAATATCGAAAGATCAGGTATTGCCTACAGGGATTTCTGTAGAAGTTGCAGCAATAAAAATAAACAACAACGGCTATTTAAATCAGAAACTGCCAAGATCTGCATTAGTTTTTTAACTCTTCCGAACTCGGTAGTTGGCTCAAGATAACTAGCAGTCCGTGATGCATGTACATATACATTTAAATATATCGTTTCTTCAACTTTTTATACGCTTCACTATGTCCACGTCTTTATAAAACTTATACAGCTCATCGTTCCATCGTCTATAGTACTCGCCATATAAAACGCGGAAAGGCCCAAAAATCTTCCCAAAAACTCTTTCACTCGAATAACCCAAGAGCTGCCACATCGGATCTTGTCATTGAAGACATAATGAGTCACTTATAGAGAGGACTTCATTTCTAAATTGCCTACTCAATCCAAAGTAGTACTTGCTGGTAAGAGTGATTCTGATCTTAAGGAGATATTCGACGACCTGGTTCAGTCGAAAAACGAACTGGTAGTAAGCTAGCACAGAAAAAGTAATTTTGACTTCCGGGTACATTTACATGCGCATACAGAAACATACGAAATTGCGAACCTTTGTATTTAAATAAGTTTAATGCGCGCCACTGACTGCAGTGATTGGGTCATTTATTGTTTGCTGCTGCAATTCACTGGCGTATTTGGGGTTTTGCTCAATCCACAGCAGCTTTATTTCGCGCTTCGCCCCCCTCATGTAGTCAGCCTTATGCATTTCATTCTCAACTCCTTTAGCTCCACCATTCTCCCCCTCATTGTCACCCCCTTGGTACAACACCCACTTTGGTGTACAATGCGCGCCAATGACGTTTTCAGTTTTCAATCTCCATTTGCAATTACTTTTTATGTTTGTATTGCATTGCGGCAGCATACTTACCTACATACATACAAATGTACATGCGGAATACCCAACGTTGGTCTTTGATGCTTTTATCCAGTGGTTTTATTTATTTTACATTTACATACATTTTTCGTTCGTTCTTGTGGGCTGACATTTAATGCGCGAATTTATTTTTGTAATACATTTTTAATATAGCGTACATTAATTTGCCAGCTTCAACAATCAACGGAACATCAGCAGTTGGAATGCATGCATATACATATCTTCTGGCAGAATAGGTTAGTATGTTATACGGTTACCTATATAGTATTCTGTGGTTAAAACGCTTGCAGGAATTTATGTTCATCATGATATGCCACGAGGGCGCCAACGGGAAAATTACTGTGTTCAGAAAGCGGATAGAGACTTATAAAAATAGGTTAAAGCCAACTAATACATATATATAAATTTATGCAACCTGACTGTCTTAACTGGCTACAATTCTGCAAGCACCGTAAAATTCGCACCTGTGACACGCAACAAGCATCGGCCGTCGACTAATCTCGCTCTCAAAGTAAAATGCATACGAACGATACGAAAGTTTTAACATCGCCTGCGATGCAAAATCCGTTGACATCTTTGAAAGTCGGGAGCTGCAGCACCCACAGAAAGCTCAACGGTGCTTGTAGTACACGTAGAAGCAGAAGAACGTTTGAAACATCCTACAGGATGCTGATCAAACCATCAGCCAATTCAAAGAGCGGAAACGTCAGGTCAAGTTTGTCGATTAACCCGCAATCCGTATACCGTGCAGATGCTTTGAAATACCCGAGAATATCCCAAATTGTAACAAAGGCCCTCATCAGTATGCTTTAAGTTCCACCGTGGCCAAGGACAGTATTCGAAGATGAAGTCTCCCTCTCACCATAAATCCAACAACGAATTTGTGGTCCTTTACAGGACAGCTATAACTTTTCCCCGCACATCAAATTTCTAAGATGGTGATGATGTTAGCCTTAACTTTTCTTAGAAAATCAACCAGCCGGGCAGAAGTTGCTTTCCTTTTAAATGTCTGAATATTTTAGGCACATACCTTCAAACCATTGTCTCCAAAAGGTTAGTTGTGATCGTTATCAAAGGGAGGGGTATAATCCGTGGCTTTAAGTAGTTTTCTTAATTTTACCTGGCGGAACCAGAGCCTGGTAAAATTTTGTTAAATACCCAATGGTGTACAGACGCGGCAGACTTCAGTGAACCCTTACACCTCCCTCTCTTTCTATCGTACCCCAAGGCTCCACCTGAGTTGGTTAGCGCATCTCACACATTACCAATAGTGAGAATTTATTATAATCCAGCAACTATAACCGCATACCCCGACGCCACACTATATACCACTCGTCCATGCCGTGTTTTAGTAACTAAACGATCAGATCATCTTTGGAGAGAAGAGTATTAAGAACCAAAACTTGTTTTATCCATATCGCCGTCCTTTCTTTCTTAGCTGTGCCCATAAAATAATGTTATAATTTTGCAAAGTAGCCGCTGGCATCGAGGACTCTTGGACTAAAGCCGCGTTGGGATTCAGAAGGCATTCAGGACAACTTATAGTCCCAAATTCTTATCAACCTCACCCGCCTGACGGATGTTTTCCTTCTTTTCGTCCAGATGCCGTTTTATGAGGTGAAGATACACACTACCACTGTTTCGCGAAGCTTTCATGGAGATCAAATATACGATGTTCTTTTTCCGCTGTTGATTTGGAGTATGCAATTTTGGCCACCCTAAAAATTCGCTGGTTTTGCCACATTCAACACCTTCGAACAACTAGTCGTAGACAGTATTGCCGTTGATAAATTTCTGAAAGTCGCAAAAAAGGGGTAATTAACGAAAAAATGGGTCACCATATTATTTTTGCTTTTCTTTACTAGCAAAAGAATAATAGGCCGATTCTGAATAGAAACTCTCTGGGAGTTTTCTCTCTTTTATCTTCCCTTCTGACATAAATAAAAACTTCCTGAGTATTTTTTGTATACTAAATGGCAGAGTTGAGCTCTCAAAAAAGTGTCAAACAGCTTTTTTGAATTTCGAATTTCCTTCTATTTGAGGATTTCTTTCTGGGGAGAAACCAATTCCCGGAGAAAAAACTCTGCGGGAGTATTAAGAATAGGGCGATAAATCTGTTGAATTTAAAAATAAAATAACGGGACAAGCGTTGCATAAAACAGGCTTGCAAACATACACATAAATCTAGTTGCTGCTAGGAGAAGAGTTGCATTTCCTTTAAATGTTTTAAGTGGTGCATTTTTTAGTTATTTTAGGAGGAGTGTCGAATTGCCCCTTTAGTCGCACAACGGCAACACTGGTCGTAGACCCGGATTTCGCCGTTGCAGAAGAAGGGATACTTGGATTTTCAGCACTTTCATCTTTGGTGTGGACGGAATGCGGTTGGTGTCAACTATCCGAAGGCAGCCCCCTCACAAAAGGTCCCAAATTGTTATATGTGGGCTCGAGTTATAAGAATATAAATTAAATTGCCATGGGAAAGCCGATACTTTACCCACTTTCTAAATACCATCAAAAATATATTAACTAACACCCACATTCATAAAAAATAAATAAATCCTTCATATATCGAAAATAAATTTGAAAATCTCACTTCATAAAGCTCTTTAGACCTATTTAATTTTTTTAAGAATGAGGCCACAAGGGTTTTGGGAAGGAGTAACAACACAAACAAAATTTATTGTGGGTAGGGTTGCCACCTGTATTAAATAATATTTAATACTAATTAAATTGGTGCATGGTGTTGCCACCTCTAAACTACTTAGTTGGAGCTTTTAGTAACCACTTTTTGGTTTGCAGTTCGCCACGCACACAACACCGTACCTATGTATGTATACACCTTTTTGTTAGCCACGTCAGCTCATCTATTGTTGGCTTTCCATAAAATATATGAGCTAATTTGTTGCAAGCGCAGCATAACGCGCGCACGCCACTGCAGAGGCAAGCAAATAAAAACAACAAAATAATATTTTACATTTATACAAATAATTTATTTCAGTTTATTTCCGTTTCGTTACACAATGGCTGGACATTTTTCAGCTGAATATACAATGCTATTATTTAATGTATGTACATACATACATACATGAACATGGGACAACATGTTTGTTTGTTTGTTTGCTTGTTTGTTTGTATGCGAGTTAATTATGCGTTTAGATTTTGTGTTGGTCTGCTGAAAACATTTTCGGGGTTTCATCCTTTTTGATTTTAATTAATGCATACATACGTATGTACGTACTTATGTTTGTATGTGTGTGTGGCTGTAAGCGCGTGTCTCTGCCTATTATTATTTTTGTTATAATTCATTTGTTTGATATTTTATTAAAATTTTTGGCACGAAATGCAAATTGGTATGTAGATGTATTCTAGTTATAATTTGGAATTCTAAATTTTCCGTTCACGTTCTGTATTTGCGCTGCTGAAATTTGTATGTATTTTTGAGTATTAATGGCAATGCCTTATAATTATGTTAGTTCGTTAGATAGCGTTGAAATTTCTAAATTAATACAAATACGTATAAATATATTCAGTTACAAAGATTTTGTTACAATTTTCTAAATGTAAACACACACATTTGCGTTGAACAAGCATATCATAAAATTTTATATATAGTATATTTGAATTCGAGTGGGGCTATAATTTTTTTGGCACATAACAACAATTAGTGTTCAAAACAGTTGGACACTGGACACCGCTAATAAGGAGTACGGCATACAAATATTTACATTTACAATAATAGCTGTACTATATATGTACTACATACATATGTATGTATATGTAAGTGTACTATAAATGTAGTTGAATGCTTCGCTATAATTAAAACGCATTAAATCCTAAAGTCCTCTACATTCGTAAACAAATATGTTTGTTTATTTATCTGACTACTTTAAGCGCTGGTTGTGTGAGTTTTATTATTGTTGCTGCGATTGTTGTTTTTTTTTTTGTTACTCATAGCTAACATTTGAAATTCGCAATATATCAATTTCATTTTCAGTTTTATTTTCTACATGTAAACATAAATTTATATCGCCATCTGAATAATTGAGTCAGTGTATTATCTAATTAAAATATATAATTTTTCAACACTTTTGGATTAATGATTTAAATTTTAAATACATATACATATATATATATCTTTTATAGGTTTATCCGATGTACTTCGTAACGTAGTGAACGTATGTATGTATGCATATGTGGAAGTAGGCATCTATGTATGTATATGCTTCAACATTTTATAAAAATTTTATTTATTCTTCCGCATTGATGTAGCTTAATGGGCAATTGGTGTTTAAGCGATCGTATCAATTTCTCAATCAATCTCAATATTTATTTCACACCCAAATTTTTAACCAATTTACATATTTATCAACAATTAGCCATTTATTTCATATAAATGTAAACAAAAAAAAATATTGCACAGAATTCAACAGAAGAATGCTCTTTTCTAGTGTACATAAATATTATGAAGTAAAATGGTCGGAGTTCAATGGGGTATTCAGTTGCAGTTGCACGACTATTAGCAGTCGCAACCCTTGTGTCCCCGTGTAGAAAGCTTTGGGAACACGGCAGTAATAAACCAAGGAGGGGGTCTTTAGTAGAGCAACAGCTGCCAAATCAACAATTCTTAGAATTTTTGTCTGTCTATCTGTCTGTATGTTTGTATGCGCATCACTCGAAAACTAAAAAATAAAATCGAATTAAATTGTCAATTGCTGTATTGCCTGAAGTCTAACTTAAAAAAGAGACGAAGAAAAATTAGAGGGTTGCCAGCTGTTTGAAAATTGCAGTTTAGATAAATTGATAAGAAAAATTAAATAAAACAATATGGCTGTTACAAGAAAGAAGTTTAACAAGGTTCACAAACGAACAAATTTTTGTAGGAGGTTGCCATCTATTTTAGAATTGAATTTAATATAATTAATAATTAAATATTGCAATATGGGTATCAAACTAAAGAGGTTTAAGAAACTTTTCCGCCGATAATATTTTTGAAGGGTTGCCACCTGTTTGCAAAATTTAGTTCTTTTAAATTGATAAAATAAATGAATATTACATTGTATCCCCCTTCATAAAGCTCTTTAAATCTATTTTATTTTATATGAATGAAGCCATAAAAAAGGGAGTAACAACACAAAAATGCTTTTAAGGCGCAGTGAAGCATGCCGGGTATTTGCTAGTTCTATATACATATACTAAATGTGCATCTCTAAACATTCTCCTAGCCATGTTTTTTGTGCACCAAAAATGCCTCGGACAACTTTACCCATCCAACCCTTGCTTACTGCTGTACTAAAGCCTACTCAAGCATATACATAAGTGAGCAATAAAACACCGTGTAACACAGTATTTGTTCCGCTGCGGAAGAACTGGTTGGTTACTGAAACCAACGCAAAAACAACGGGTGTGACGAAGATTATAACCCAGCGAATAACTGAGCGGTACCGGAGAAGAAGAAGGAATATCCAAACAGAAGAAGTTAGATACAGAATACATGAAATAAAAATTTTTCCTGCGTAAAGTCATGCAAAATTCATTTTTATGAATAAGTTAAGGATTTCAATGTGTTTGAAAAATGTTTTGCGAATTAAAAGACTTCGACGCCGTGGTGCACGATCGCATAGATCACTTTAAAAGCTTGTAAAATTATCTTAATTCTATTACACCATGTTAATATATAGCATTCTGAATCAAAGACATGTAATCAACGCCCGCTGTTAAGTGTAGAAAAAATAAATCCATCATTAATATTTTTTACTTGAATCGCAACTAAACTCACCCATTTATGATTCAAGGGATTACCAAAAGATAAGGATTTCCTGTAAAATAAATTCGCCTGTTCTAGTATTTTGTCATTAACCCTGGTTTGATAACCCTACTAAAATTTGGTGAGAAGATAACCATTAGTCTGTGAGACGAATCATGGTTTGCTTGCCATAATTTTATGGTAATAAAAATTTTATGGATTTTTTTTCTTCGCAGATATCGAACCCTAACCGCCAAAAAGACGCAACCAAAATTTTTTTGAAAACTTTCTTTCTTTAATGCAGAAATGTTTCTGCAGCTTTTAGATGTATTTCAGCTTCAAAAATAAAATTTTGAAGAAATTTCGCTTACGTCTTTTTGGCGGTGAGGGATCGATTCGGAAATAGAGAGCAAAAAGAGAGCATCTCGCAGACATCAAAGGTTATCAAAGCAGGGTTAAGGAGAAGGCTTTTACGCGAAATTTACCTATAATGAAATTACTTTCATAATGGTAAAAAGCTATCGAACAAATCCGCATTTATTTTACGTAGTTCAGGGCATCTTAACTTTGCTAAATAAAGTCTTGAACTAAAGGCAAACATTATGAATTTATTTTTGGTTACACTGGTATTTGAATAGATGTCAGATTCACAGTCCTAACTATAAATTACAGCTTTTTAAATTCACTCCTAAAACAAATTACCGTTTTTTTTGGAATGTCAGATTGGAATGAATAAATTAAAACGACTCTTTCGTTTTCTGGTATTTTAAGATTTTAGATAAAAAAATGCTTGAGATTATACTAAATTTGAAGTAGCGAATCAAATGCATAAACAAATTAACAAAGAAATTTATAAAGAAAATTGGACCCTTAATTTCCTTAAAAACAAAATGTGATTCAAGTGCTGCAGTTATAAAGTCTGTTTTTGTATAGTTAAGTGTAACTTAAATTGTTAATGTTATTTTATTCAAAGTTAATGGAATTATGTTATTTATATTTAATAAAATCTAAAAACGTTAATTTCATCGACATGCATTTCGACCTACTGCACCCAAATCTGAGGTGTGTTGGCTAGTACATTCTCGAAATATCGAGTAAGTTGCGGAAATTACGAGTTTTTTTTTTGGAAATTTAGAGTTTTTGAAAAAAATCTGGCAACACTGATTGTGACTCACGAAATAATAATGTTTTCAAATTCCATATCATTTGTCACAAATTATTAAACTACTTGATATAAATAAGCCATAGACGAAACTTTTTTTAAACTAAACTTTGTTATACTATATACATTAGGGCGGTCCTTAAAAAACACAGATATCAGATAAAAAATTTGGCCCCTATTGGAGACGGTTAAGGCGTGTTGCACAGGGGTCAAAGTTCAGATCCCTCTATAGAGACTCAAAAAATTAAAATCAATTTTTTTGCTAACTCATACCCAAAATCGCTACAGCCGTAGTCAAAAATATCACGTATAAATTTTGGTCCCGATTGGAGTCAGTTAAAACGTGTCGCAATGAGGCCAAGGCTGGAGCGTCTGGCTCTGGGTCTAGGGACTCAAAAAATTAAAAATATTTTTTTCGTTTAATACCCAAAATCGATACTACTGAAGTCGAAGATGTCACATAAGGCGCCACGCCTTAACCGGCTCCAATCGGGGCCAAAATTTATATGTGATATCTTCGGCTATAGTGACATCGACGTAGGGGTTGAGGCTTAGGCAATCTGATGTAAAAATTTGCTTCCTATGTTTAAGGACCACCCTAATATATACATATATATGTATATTTTCATAAACGTCGATTTTTTTACGACTGGCATTAATAATGCAATCATTTTCACACGCATTTACATTGAAATCAATTAATTCCACAGTTTTAAATAAACATAAAAAAACTAAAAAAAATTATGAAAAAAATATGTAATATTAAACTTCATTGGTTATTGGAAATTTTGCTGTAATAACAATATAAATAGTTATCTGATTAATTATTCTTGTTTTTGTTTCTACTTTCATTTCTTCTTATTTTTACTTAAATTAAATTAAATATTTCAAACTCTTTAATCCTTAGCGCTAATCAATCAATTTTTCACTATCATGAAACCCATGCCACCCTCTCTCTCTCAACCATCAACCATTCCCACCTCTTCTACGCTGCTGCTAGACTTTATCAGTAGATACTCCTACATACATACATACACATCTAAATAGTTGCAATTCCACCAGCTTGCGCACGCTTCACCAACGCACGCCTGCAGCGCGACGTAGCTTTGTTATACTGGCAACTGGTTGAAAACCGAATGACAATTCCTTGCACAACAACAACGCCACCAGCGATATGCACAACAATTGTACGGCGCTCAAGTGCGCCAAGCGCGTCGACGATGATGGCGGCTCATTGGAGATTGTACGAAATTTTTCGACTTTTGTCCAATCGCTGAAACCGGCGAGATTTTTAGTTGCAGCGCGCATGAAATAGGTGGTGTTGGCTTCCAAATTGTTGATGAGAAAAGTTGCGCCTGCAATGGAATAAACGAGAATAAATGGGTGGGTCTAATGCAGTCATAGATATGCAGGTAAGCAGCAGGCAGGGATTTATTGCTAAGCGACTATTGTTAAACAAGACGCCCAACGCAATTCAGCGATAATTTCCGCAAAATGCTTAGCGCCTCACGATTTTCACGCTTACACTTTATTAACATCAGGAGAATTCGCACACTAAGCACTAACAAAGCCTTTTGCCGCTACCACTACTACTTTCTAAAGCAACACCTTCAATCATTCATTTCCTTCTACACCCCATAGATGCCCAGAAACCGCATCCCGTCTGCCTTTGCCCCCGCCCACTTCACCACTTTACTTACCATCTTCGAATGGAAAATCTCTGCGCTTAGCATTCGTCCATTTGCCTGCATCTGATTTGAATTCATATTCCGTCATATACTCAATACGAAATCCATTCACCTCCATCAATTTACGCACCGGTGAAGTGCGCACCGAACCCACATCCACATCGAACGTATTCGAATTGAAGCCGCGCAACTGCAACACCGTCGGTGGTGGTGGCTTCACACCGCGCTCCAATACGGTGCTGCGTTCAATGGCGCCCAGATTGTTCTCCGCTAGGCAGCGATACGTGTCGTATACGCTATCGTCGCGCGCTTGAATCGTCAAATTGGATGCATAATAATCCGTTTCGAAGCTGTAGTGTTTGTCGTTGCGCAAACGTTTCTTGTTGCTATTCTTGTACCAGGTAAAATTGGCTGGCGGCTCAGCGATGGCCTGACACGGTATGGACACGCTGCCATTGACGTAGACATACTGCAGTGAAATATGATGGTTGTGCATCCAGAATGGCTTATCTGCAACAATGCCAAATAAGCAGGGTGTGGTTATTGTATTTGTGTGTGTGTGTATGTGGACTAGTACTATTCATTTGTTCAGGTGTGTATGTGTGTGTGTGTATTCCAATAGCATATAAGTGATTGTTGGTTTTTGGTTGTTGAAGCTGATGAAATTTTGATAGCATGGAAATGGAAATGCAAATGGAAATTGGCGGCTACCGATTGCATAGGAGAAAATGGCCGCGCCTAGGTGAATGACTGTAAAGCTGTAGGTGGCTGCAATGATTGCCCGGTGTACGATGCATGATGACCCCGATTGGGGTAAAACCGGTATAAATGCTGTGTCATGCACGCACGCTAAGTAATCAAAAATCAGCGGATGTAAGTGAAAGGTTATCGAGAAGAAATGGTGATTACTGTTTCAATGAATAAAATTTGTTCCAGGCTCTCATAAGTAGGGGTCAAAAGGTTGTACTGTTATTAGTGAAAGGCAAAGTGTACAAAGAGTATGTATCTTACAATATGGGTCTAAATTCAGCACTCCAGACTCAGATAAGAGAGTGATTCTAGCCTTATCGCAATTGTGTTGATAGAATTAGCCAAACTGGCTTTATTTTCGGGAAAATATTTTGATCAGTGGCTTATTACCGCTTTCAAGAGCTCAGATTACCTAGCGTTTCAGCATCCATTTCAGGAGGGGGTAACCTTGCAAGGGAACTGGTGACGCTATCCAGGTGTTATGGTCGTTGTGGGTTAACAGAGGTCTAAAGAAAATCGAAGGAAGACCTGTCCAACTTTCTGTATATGTGGATGATATTTATATGTCCATACTCAGGGATACACAACTTTGGGAGACTGACTTGAGCTTAGCATCAACACGGAAAATACAAATCTGCAACTCTTCACCAAGAAAAACAAGGTTACGAATTGGTCCAAGCCTAGTCTGGATGTGGTGATCCTCCAGTTGAAGCAAAACGCCAAATACCGCAGAATAATACTCGATAGTAAGCGCCTTAATGCGAAGGAGAGGGCCAAGAAGCCCTCAGCGCCATTCTATGTATGCTGGGCTACGGACACAGTATAGTATAGCGTCAACTTTACTCCAACGGATTGACTATAGCCGTGGAAGGCTGGCGTGACGGCAGAAGGAGTTTAGTGTATATACAGACGGGTCGAAAATGGAGAGATGTGAAGGAGCGGCAGTTGTTTACGCGCAGCTCGGTTTCAACAAATCCAATAAGGTGCCGAATTACTGTAGCATTTTTTGGCACACGTATTGGCCATAAGGAAGGTGGCGGAGGTACTGAGCAGAAACCGATCTGGGCCAAAACGCAAGGTTGCAAGGCGTGCAGCAACGTATGGTATAAAACTCACGAAGTTTTTCCATTCCCTCGAGAGGGTACTGGTGCCTATTATAACGATACATTGTCTGTTAGCATTTCATGCCTTTAAACTGGCTCTGGTCGCTGCCAATGTAGGGTGCTTCAGTTTTCTGCGACTGCATTATTCACCAACATTACTCCGGATACTCAGTAATTAGTTAGCTGACTAATGTGGGCGTAGTTTATTTGGTAATGCTATGGACTTTCATGGGGTCTCTACGAAATCATGCAGAGGAACCAAGATTCGTAGCCAGCTGATCTACTGTCTTCAATACTGTTTTTAGTATAGTAAGGTCGATAATTACTTGAACTTGACTTGAAAGAAAAAATAAAATTTTAGATTGAAGTTGCGATAGTGAAGGTATATTTATTACCGGAGAGCGTGTTTTCCAAAGATCTATCAGAATTGAATATTGCGACTTTGTGAGCTAGCCTAAAAAGTCCACCTGACCACTTTCGACCCACCATAGGTTTTTTTTTACGGTCAAAAGTATTTTTACATGGTTTCCTGCCCTTGGGCCTGACACCCATACATATGTATACCCATTAGGTTGGTCCAAAATAAGTAAAGTCAGAATTTTAATGCTCTCACGCCCTAGGATTATTCCATATGGAAAAAATATGCCCATATTTTTTTATTTTGAAATCAAAAAATATTTAGAGGTCGCTCAATGATCTCAAAGTGTTCCATGAATTTTATATTGGAAAAAACAACTTTTCGTATAAATGGTATGGAATTCTTGAAAAGCAACACTTTTCGATCGGAAAACTCTGGTTCCCTTCAGAAGACTTCCACTAATAATGTCCAATTATTTATGTAACCAATTTATAATAATAAAAAATTTTATTTAACCCTTTATTTTCTGGCATTTTCTGGGGGTCTTGGCGTACCTATAAAATATAGTTACTATGAAAAAAATTGGGTATTGGGTATTATTATTGGGAATCTGCTGAAGAGAAACCGAGTTTTCCGATTGAAAAATATTAATTTTTAAGAATTCCATGCGATTCAAGAATTCTATACCACTTCTACGAAAATTGGGTTTTCCCCATATAAATTACATGGGCATCTTTGAGCTCTTTTAGCGACTTTTGAATAATTTTTTATTTCAAAATGAAAAATCTAGGGTATATTGTTTTTGGTATAGAACAATCCAAGGGGGTGAGAGCATAAAAATTTCGACTCTGCTTTTTCACATGCATTTTTGGACCACCCTAAGGTGCATGCAAATCTAACTAGAAAACTAGCAGAATTAAATGAAAGAGAAGTGAGCCTTCCGCACCTATTGAACTTTATTGCATTCGGTGATCAATAAAAGATCGACCTAATTTAAATTTCGTTAATGTTCCAGTTGATTTTATTATTTTCTTATTGTAATCTTTTATTTTAATTTTCAACATTTTCGTGCAATATTCCATTGCCACTGCAAGTGCATACATATTTTTTTTTTTTTTTTTTCATGTAAGTACCTACTTCCAGCAACTGCGTACCACCTGAAGCATTCAAAAATCATTTGTGCATGAAATTGAAAATCGAAAACTTCATCGTGAACCAGAATGCAGTAAGCTGTGCCAAGTGTAGTTGTGGCGGCGTAGAAACAATAAAGGAAAGTGTAAGTGTGAGTACTCATACTTCGTATGTATAAATGCACCCTCAACATCAATTAAACTTAACAATATTTCCAATACAAAGTTTTTGTGGAGTAGTGTGAAAACTCTATACAAGGGATATGGCAGAAAATTTGAGATGCCAACAACAACAACAGCAAATTCGCATAGTAAATTTTACGTTACATAAAATTGGAAAATTTTTTTGAATGGAACACACCTACGCTTTGTACAACCAACGCCAACGCTGCAGTTATGAAAATCGAGAATTTTTACGAAAAATTTATGGAAATATTCCTTGATTATATAATACAAACAAAATACATAATTGTATTTTGCCAGAAGGACTAATAAATATGTAAATAGAATTGAGTTGGATAGTAGATATTTTGAAGTATGCGTATTTTCGTTGGAGGTATGCATACCTTCAAACATACATATTTTTATACAAAAATGCATACGAAATTATGTTCACACATACATACATACATACATACATACATACATACATACTTACAAGAAACAATAAATTTTTCATTCAAGTATTTTCGCATCAGTGGATTTTGGGTACCCCAAGGCAGCTACTCTTAATAAAGAAGAGTCCATCTTTCCATTCACTCTACTGGCTACTCGTACGAACAAGTAGAAGTGTTGCCGAGTTGAAGCTCTTGAACTTCTACGCCTCACCAGTTTTTACTCTATCTGCAGACACTTACTGGCGATTCTTGATAATAGTGATTGACTTTTCCAAAAGCAAGTAAATATTTTTGAGAAATCTATTTCTGAAGAATAGCTTCAAAATACAAAGGCAGTACTTTATTAGTAGGTATGTAATTTCAATGCAGCACAAAAAAATAAAAATAAAAATTTAAATTATAATGAAATGCTCTAAGATCCTATAAGGCAGCTTTATTTCCAATTTCAATTTAGCAAAACAATGAAGCATATACTACGTCAAGAGTTATTAAGAGAACTACGTTAACAAGTACAGAATATTTAATTGAAAGCAAAAATGCATGCGTAAATAAGTACTTTTGTATGTGTGTACATTAGAGTGGCCCAAAAATATTTTTTTCCGAGATAGGGCTTAGGGCACTTGCAAAATTTTTCCTCCTCCCGAAAAAGGTGCTGGTACCAAACTTTACATTTCTAAGTATAAATTTATAATAATGAAATTGGATAAGCCACCAAAGAACATTTGAAATTTAAAGTATCTAAAAAAATATTACAAGCTTCGGTGGTAATGGATGGCAACAGTAGCATTTTATAAAAATTACCGATTTTTTGCTGGCTTCACAGCGATCCAGTAGTGCATTTCAAGGTCTTTGAGCACCCTGTATTAGTTACAGTAGAAAATGAAAAGTTGGTGTAGATATAACAAATATCAAAAAGAAAAAATAAGGGGGGGGGAGGGGGGGAGGTTGGCGAGCTGGGGGTTGCCCGTTTTCTAGGATGACATTTTTGCCCCCATGCCAAAATTGGACCCGAAATACAGAAAAACAGTACCTTTTTTTTGTATGAAGTATGATACACCCTTATGTGTACAATTGAAAAATTATTTTAATGTCAGCATTTACATTCAGTTAGCAATTTTGAAACTATTTTATATGCCTGTTTGATTACATAAAATTTGCTTCATTACGAAAATACAGTATTGAGCCTACAGTTACATAATTAAAGAGAAAATATTAAGGCCCAATTTCAGATGAGCCATTTAAGTTACGAATGTTAATTAATTTCAAGAATTCATTTTCAAATCATATACTTAAACCGCGTTTAAATGAACCGAATTGGTTATTTAAATGTATTTGTAAGAAACAACAATCAGTCGTTCAGCACAAAATGTAAACAAACCCACAAATGCAACCACAATTTCAAGGAACAAGCAATGGTGTGGCCACTTGTTTGTTAAATTTAAACAACGGCCATCTGAAACCCAACGAAAGTGAAATGGTATCTGAGAAACAATCGAAAATTAAAATTAAGTGTCATTTAAAGATTCATCTGAAACTGGCCCTACGACACACATCTCAAACTTAGGTAAGCTACGCTTATTAAAAACAGATTGGGACATTTGTAGTAAATAAATATATAAAATTGATTTATAAACGTAAAATTTAAATAAAACAAAAGTTGCTTTACTTCATGCATATAAATATGTATGTAAATATTGACATGACTCTTTCAATAACAAAAAATTAAAACTGTTTTGGTTTTAACAGAAACGTAAACTTCTTTTCGCTGAAAGTAAAGGCAAAGTTGAACTTAAGTCTACTAACGTTGTGCACGAAAATTAACTTTTTATTTGCAAGGAGCTGCGGACCTACCGAGTAAAAACAATTCGGGTACACTGATTTCAGTTGTGTTAGTAATTTTTCCAGGTTAGACCATCTAATCGAGTAATGTCAAATTCAAGTCTTTTGGCGGGATCCGTTTTTGAGCGAGGCGTTTTGGTGCGAGGAATCCGAATTTGACATATTTTTGCGATCCGACAAATATTCAGTACAGCTTTCATACAAAAAACATCAAAAAAAAAATTACCGAAAACAACCAAAATCTCGGATTTTTGTATGGAAATGGCCCAAATTTCTTTGAAAATACATTTAATATTTTATTTTTCTTTTTTTTCTTTTTTTAATAAAAATACGTTTCTACGAATTTCATCGCAATCAGAGCAAAAAAAGATACAGCATTTAAAAAAATATTTCCATTTTGAAAAAAAAACTACAAAATTCTGTATATTATAAATTTCAGTGGAAAACACAGATATTAAAAATTTGCGGCAACCAAACTGGTAGAATAGTCAAGTATATTGATGCATTTTTTTTTCATTTTCTTTATTGAAATTCAAATTAATTTTTCAATCATTTCATCTTCACATTTTTTTGGTATATTTCAGCAAATATCTCCTATTAGAGCATCAAGCTTCTTTCCCCTACACCAATTTTCCAGGCTTGCTGTTATCTATCTGGTGAAATCTCTCAGCATGCACCGGTGGTACAGCAGTCGAAATATTCCAAACAATTTTATTAATATGCATTCCGATTTGCTTCAAATTCGAGATACGCCTTAAAAACAATATTAGGAATATCAATTTGGAATTTCGACCACTGGCTGGTGGTCACAGAGTGGCATTCAAAACAAACTAAAGTGATTTAAAAGCAAATATTTATATATTCAAAAGTCCTTTCCTGGGGGTTTTAGGGTCCAAGAGAACTGAATTGTCACTTTTTTCTAAAAACTGGCGCTTTGATGCAAAAAATAAAAGTTGCCAACCTGGGGTAGCTGAGAAATTAGTTGTCTATACCTATACACATTCAGAAAAATGGGTTTCATTAATTCCCCAGCCGACTGTCGAAAAGTGCTATCGACACTTCAGAAATACATAAGTATGTTAATAAATTTAAAAACGCTTTCCAAGACACGCCAAAATTCTCAGTCACGTAAATCATTTAGATAAGCCAATATCTAATATGCAAGCTGTAGCCAAATCGTAAAAAGTGTGAAAACCATAATTTAAAATCGCTAATGGAAATCGAATGGGAAATCGCTTAAGAAACCCAAAATCGCATCAAAAGCAACAGCGATTAAAATTAGCTCAATGGCTAGAGTAGCCATAAAAAAAAAAACAAAAAACTATTAAAATTGCGTTTGCAGCACTCAGCACGTAACCTAAAGGTGGAAGAATAGATTTTCGAGAGCAACATACGAATTCAGAAATCCAAAATCGTAAAAAGACGCACGACTAAGAGCACGAAACGCGCATAGCTCAAATTTGCTTGGCGCTGGTGGCAGAATTTCGCCCAAAGCGCCACGCATGCACCTTCGCACAAAAGCCACAATAAATTGCAGCAGGCGTGGGAATTCACCTCAATTTAATTTTTCCCACAAACAGCAAAGGCACAGGCTGGCATTGTTGCGAATCAGTGAGTATGGGCGTGTTTGTAATTGTGTACGGGTTTTGGTTTGCGTGAGTCACGAAAACACAATCAAGAGACCTGAATGAATTGAAAAGCAGAGCAGCGCAGCGCAGCGCAGCACAGCGAACAAACAAACGCAAACAAACAAACAAACAAACCTGTAGATACAAAAGACAAAACGCCCGGAATTTTAGAGCATTCAAAAAATAAAAAAAAACCCACCCAATATATGTATAAACAAATAACACGAAATATTTGCGCAACAAAAATCCAATGCAATTTACAAAGCAAAATTTCTGTTTTTCCCAACTGGATTATTTGTCTCGCATACTAAGACAACAAAAAAAACAAAAAGCAATAAAAAAGTTGTTCGCTCAAAAAATAACAAATAAATACAGTTGGGTTTGTTTAGCCATTGAGCTTAGAGATAGATGTCCATCCGTTGACGGAAATGGCCAAAAACTGCTGCAGCACTGCCGGGCAGCCGTCCATAGACGATAGCAAAATGAACATACATACATACATATGTGACAGAGTAAAAGCACAATGAAAGAGTGGTACTACTTTAGTAGACAGCGGCAGCAGAGGAGGCGCCAGCTTATCCGCCAATATGCGACATGTGAGTTCAAATGAAAATTGCTTCCATTCCACTGCGAATGTTGGCAAAGGAAGGAAGTCAGTATGGCTTATGGCATTGTGTCAGTGGGTTTATATGTATGTATGTGTATGTACTGTGTGTATTTGCTCGTATCGCATAGGCAGTAAACATCCTACTCACGTTCGATTTTCATCAAAATGGTGCGCTCCTGCATGTCCGAAGCGATGGTGTTCACTTGATAGGCGCGGCACGTATATTCGCCGGTGTCGTTCTGCGTTACCTTGCGGACCTGTAATCCATCAGCCAGAATCTGAAATTTCGTTGAGTTGCCTGTAAATGCTGCAAAAAAAAAAAGCAGAAAGAAAGAATACAATACAATTTGGGTTTTTTTTTTGTTTTTATTCTATTTTATTCTTTATTTTTCCATTTTGCAAAGATTACTTGTACATTTAGGACATGTATTAGATGGAATTTTGTTTTTTACTGTCTCTATTCGAATTGCGAGTACATTTGTCGTTGTAATCACTGGTAAAGTGCACACTGAAAATCCAATATAGTGAAATTGAATTTTTTGGAGTGAGTCTTTTTTTTTATTAACTGAAATGCAAACAATTTTAAGGTTTTTAAGAAACTCCGCATTTTTTTTTATATGAAAAATACCTAATTTTTTACTTTTTCTATTTTCTATTTCAAGGCAAAAATAAACTTGTCTGGCTTTTTGGAGCAGAGAATTAGCGGAAATTTTTAATTTTTACCTTTTTTTGGTACTCGTAAAATAAAAATGTATCATTTAAATAATTTTTTGAACCCGAATTTTTTCGAAAATATTCGTAGCGTTCCATCACAATGTTGACGAGTGCTGAAAAAATCCTCAAGGATCCAGAAAAAGTCCCGAAAATTCGAAAAAATAGGACACAAAATATCAAAAGGTCCAAAATAATACCGATAAGTACCGACGCATCGCGAATTATCCGGAACAAGATATGAAAAAACCCGAAAAAAAAGATTTAGAAAAGCCTTTAAAATTAATAGATAGGCATAAGAAAAAAGTTCGAAAAATTTTGAAAGTCGTTCAAGATTTTTAAAAGGTCTCGAATACCAAAAAACTTGACGTATATCAATTATACGAAATAAGTGGCTTTGGCCGAAATTTGGCGAAAAAACCCGAAATATCAAAAAAAAACACCTGAAAAATCAGACACGAAATATATTGAAAAATCGTTACAAATAGCATAAGGACCAGAGAAATATCGATGAGTTCCGAGATCACGAAGATACCTTAAAATAAGATACAAACAACACGAAAAAGCCCGAAAATAATACCGGTAAATTTCAATATACAGTGACTCAAACAAATGACCACGTGTTGATTTTTTTTCCGAAAATTCCGAAATTATTCCGAAATAGGCCTGAAATGGTCCTGAAATAGCGCTGAGCTACACCTTTTCCAAGAGCACTTCAGAAAGCGTCAAATGAACTTCAGAATAAATAGTCAGTTCATTTTACAACTGACTATTTTGAAGTACAGTTTACGATTTCTGAAGTGTTCTTGGAAAGGGTGTAGACCAAAAATATTTATTTCTACACACAAGGAGCAATGACACAATTTCTGCTGGGTTAACAAAAATTTTACCCATACCGGGAGCAGTTTGCAGTTGAAGAACCCCGTTTGTATTAGATACTTATTTCTCACTGTGCACTTTTCCATTTACGAAGTTCTCCAAGACGGCAAATAAAATAAAGTAAACCGCTCACATACACAGTCAAATCACTAATTGGACTTACTTTCAACAATAATTGGCTGCCCATTGTAGTGCCAGGTGACATTTGGTTGTGGTTCGCCTTTCACTTCGCAACGTATGAATGCATCCTTGCCTTCCTTTACCGTAAGAATGGTGAAATTTTCAGCGAAAGCAATTTTTTCTAAGGCAAAGAAAAACAATAGAAATAATTTTACAGAAACTCATTACAAACAAAGTAAACTATGTAGATAAGAATAAAAACTTTAATGAGACGCCTCAACAGGCCTTTTGCACATTTAAGACAATAACATTTTCTCAAAAGTTTCTTGCCTTTTAACGATCTACACTTCACTTCACTTTACTTCACTTCACCTAGCTCGAATAATGGCACTCGCATCCAGTTTAGCTACTTACGGTAGACAATGAGATCCAAAGACTTTTCCGCTCTGTCGCCATTGGCATCTTCGCACGTCCACTTGCCCTTGTCGCCGAGTGAAATGTGTAGAAAAACAATTTTCAATTGTTCTATCGCGCAAAAAGGCGCACGTAGGCATCAAGTCAGCAGCGGATAGCAGGTGTTCCAGCGAATTTTTGTTGTTGGTCAGTGATGAGAGCGCGCGCGCGTCACAGGAGGTACATACATGAAAGAAAATTAGCAATGATTTGTGTTAACAACGCCGCTTAATCGGCATTTAGTAAATGCAACTACACTTTAACATAGCAGCGGTAAGCCAGCGGTATGCAGCTAGGGGGCAGCTACCGTCACAGCAAGTGCACACATTTACACGCACATGTAGCGGCCTGCGCTGCGTGTGTAAGTGTGCTTCCTGCTTTGTGCATCCGTGCATCCGTGCATGTGGTAAGCCGCTCGCTAATAAGGTAGCGCACACACTTACCTGGCGCACTTTGCTCGATGTGTATACGTCCTTTGTGCTCCTTAATTATTTCTCCCTTCGGCGACTTCCACACCAACTGCGCTTCTGATGTTGAGCTACGGCATTGGACTATTAGCGAATCGTTGGTATATCGCACCACAGAATGATCGGAGGGACTGAGCGAAAGCAGTTCGTGGTGGCTGGCCTGCACGCAAGCTGCAAGCAAATGCAAAGGGGTGTGTATTAGTATACATACTATGTATGTAGGATGAAAAGTAATTTAAGTCGATTTATTAAGGTAACATCTGCGACATCGAAAATTTATAGTGGCGAATACAGTAGCAAAGTTGATAAAATTTGTTTTCAAAAGTCGCAGAAGCTTAGACTAGCTTTTGTGGTTTTGACATTATACGGCGTGGTGTTAGGAGCTGAGATCTGGTAGGTAATTACTAAAACAGGATGAACAAACCTTGGGACAACAAAAATTCGCTCATCGTGGTAAAAACATATTTTAAGGTCCTGCTACTTTTTTTGCCGAACCTAGAGGTCGCCTTTTGTCAATTTTTGTCATTCTTCAGCATTACAGTCCATTTTGATCTCAAGGAGACAGCTTTTTTGTTCCAAAATTCATTGAACTCAATCACCGCGTTCTAGTACTTCCACCTTTATCCACCTAACTTACTTAGTACTTTACTTACATTACTTAGTAGTAAGTACTTTATCCACCTAACGTTTCATCCTAATGTCAGTAAAATAAATTTCTTCGAAAATTCCGAATCTTTTGCTAAACAAGTATTTGATTATTCCAGTAGAACTATTAAAAAAAGTTTTCATTACCGTAAATGGTAAAAAAAGCCACCCCTAGGTTCGCCAAAAAAAAAGATAGAAAATTTCATAATTTCCTGGCAAAAATACTTTGAACCCAGGGCGCCAATTCTCGTTCTATGAAATGGTGCAGAGAAAATAAAAAACTCAATTTCAGTGAAAATTTAATTTGTTTATTTTATCATTTTAAGCGATTCTGGAGCAGGAAAGATTTTCCATTAGCATCTAGCAAGCAGTTATTTGTTAAATTATTGTGAGTTTAAGGCAATGATATTATTTATTACAAGATGGTATTGGCTTTTTCGCTTCTTTCGTTTGACACCCGTATTGTAATATTTCATTTAATCTCTCTTGAAACTGAACTTGAACTTTTATACTGGTGCCAACTCTATTCAAATGTACGTACATGTTTTAAGAATAAAGCCTTTGACACCCATATTGAACTATATCATTTACTTTGTCAGTTTTATGAATTTTGTATTATTAGATAAGTGGCAGCCCTTTAAAATAATAATTTTTAAAAAGCTTTAAATGCTTTAACGTTTGATAACCATATTTAAATACTTCATATAACTTATTTATTCATTTGATTCAGAATTTCTATATTTCTTCGAAAATATAATTAACAGAATACAGCTTTCTTAAACTTCTATCGTTTGACACCCATATTAAAATATTTCATTAAACTTGTTACTTAAATTTATTTTGAATTTCTAAACAGCTGGCAACCCCCGTCAAAAATATTTTGTAAATAAAACTTCTTAACCCTCTCTCTGTGGATACTTGTGTAAAAACATTTCATTAAACTTGCCAAATACATTGATTTAAATTTTTTTTAACAGGTGGCAACCATATACGAAAATATTTTTGCAATAAGTCGTTTGTAAACTCGCACATTGTTGTGATACTCAATTTAACTTATTAATTAATTGATTTTTGCTTTTGAAAAAGGTGGCCATATCTTCAAAAATATCCGTTTGTATAATAATTGGGTTATAGCGTATCTGTGCGCCGATTTTAATTCGAATTCGTAGCGCGATTTTAGCGTGAAGGAGCAGCACACATACACGACACCCAGGCATAAATAAGCAATGAAGCCTTTTGGTATTTATTTTTCTTAATTTAAGCTGCGGATTCTGAGCTGAAGTCATTTCCGGACGCCAAGTCTTCTCATCTTCTTAGTTGGTTTCAATGTTCTAACTAAGAGGCTAAATACTATTAAGGTTGTGTACGGTGATTTTAGGAAGGTAAGTCCAGTGGTTCTCAGTGTCACATAATGTGTCCGGTAAGAAAACCTTTAACAATTATTAATGCGTTCATAGAAAGAAAGTGTTGGAGCTCTTAGATTCTCGTTGCTAAAATTTGCACTTATATAAAACCATAAATATATTTTGCTTTAGCTGCCGGTTTCACCAGCAAATTTAAGCGAAAACTTATGTTTTCCTTCTGTTAGTTTTCATATCAAAACAACAAAAATAGAATTTTTCACTTAAATTGCTTTTGTGAAACTTGCTAAAATAATTTGCCCTTCTCTCTGGCGACGCAATCAAAAATTTTTGCCAACAAAAAAGTATTAAAAATTTGTTATACATAGTTGTTACAATTGTATATTGAAACGAATAAGCAACTGTGTATAATTTAAATATGTACATATGTATGTACATATAAAATAAAAGCGAATATACTCATATTTGTAATATTTAAATACCAAAGTATAGGCATAGCACACTCAGAAAGTGCTAAGTGAAAAAATATGTATGAGCAGCTGCTGCAGGCAGTAGTAAAGCTTTTTAAAGTGAAAAGATTAGCCTGGGTTTAGAGTGAAAAATGTAGGATAACTTTTGATTGAGTAAACTTGTCATAAGTTCGAAGATATGAAACTGCTTTGAGATAGTAAAGAAATTGAAAATGCTTAAGGCGTCGTAGTTACTACTTCTCAGAAGAACGCAGAATTTTTTAATAAAGTACTGCTATATCACTGCATAGGTGCAATGGAACAGCAATGCTCAGAGCGTTTTACTTACACAATTCGTTGAGTGCAGTTGCGTGTGTGTGCACATATGCATTTAGTTCTTATACATAAGCATTTAATGTTAGTTTTATTTTTTTCCAGCAAAGTTTGTAGCAAGTAAAATAAATTTTAAAGGCGATTGTGCCCATGGATATTAATTCGGATATATTTATTGATAGGGGAAAAGAAAAACAAAAAAGGACAGTACTGAAAATGGTCCCTTACTAGTCCCAAAATGGGTCTAAAATAATCCTGAATTAATCCCAAAATTATCCCAAATTAGTCCGGACTTGTCCCGGGATTTCGGGCCTCAAAAAAGTGGTCGGGACTTCTGGAATTCGAGATCCCGAATTACTGCATATACAAAAAGTACGTTGAATCTAGAACTATAAGGCAGAAGAATTGAAATGCAGGCAAGAGCTCCTGGAGAAAAACGCCCATTAAAAACAATGAAGGTAAAAATCATGCACTTCTTTCTACCTGCTGGGCTATAACAATTCATCTGCCTATTGAGCAACGCAAACGAAAGAGACATACCCAGACATAGAATAAGTCAGAGCAGTGCTGTCTTCGACTATGCCGAAGGCTTAACACTACCTTTCAGGAACATCAGAAAATTTTACTTTAACAGATTACTGCATTTGAAATTAGTTGTATGGGAGCTAAACAAACTTTTTACGAAAAGTCTCATATCTAAACAATCAGTTGTATGGGAGCTACATATATGTTGTAGTGGTCCGATTTTTCCGGTTCTGACAAATGATTAATACATTATAATACTACACCCACTTACCAAATTTCATCCGGATATCTCGAGAACTGAGAGAATATGATTGCATACAAACAGATGGACAGACGGACAGGCGGACAGGTAGACATGGCTAAATCTACTCTGCTCGACGTTCTGATCAAATAGGTAAATATTTTAGTAGGTCTATGTCTTCTTATTCTGATACCTACAAGTTATAACACATATTTCATGCTCATGAAAGGTATAAAAAGGAGTAGAAATGCGAGCAACCAACAAGAATTAACCAGAACGAAAAATTACGCTGACCATGGCCCAACGTCGAAACCGGTTTGTCTTCAAACCAAATTTGAAAAGGGACGACGGAAATTCGCTTCAAAATATTCCAAGTAAATATCTATTCCGATAGTCAAGCAACAGTCGTAGCGTTTGGCATGCTCAAAGTGCGCTCAAAGCAAGTTTCAGAATGCCTAAACTCTCTTAAGACTTACGTATATGACTGTAAGGTCACAGTTTTATTGCAAGTAACTGAATGTCGGATAAACTGGCCGGAAAGAAACTGGGCTCACACCGAGAAAAAAAATGGGAGTACTACAGGTGTCAGCACATCGAACGCTGGTCGAGGACCATAGCATATCACAATTTTTTGAAGTGCGAAAAAGTTAAATCATCGCAACACTTCCTCTTGAACTAGCCAGTTTTCCCAAGATGTGGTCTCAACACTATTTAATCAGCCCAAAGAATCTCTCCAGCAAACATATCTGCCCCTGAGAAAAATTAAAGCACAAGTAAGCTACTATCTGGTGCAGTAAATTTAACCAAAACTTTTAAAGTAACTAAGTGGCATACTTTATGATAAAATTACGCAAATTATTCACTTAAGAGTTTTGACAGTGTTAATCGCAGCCAACTATGTTTTTGCTTTATCTTTAATTTAACTACTTCAATATTTTCGCAAATATGGGTCACTTGCACAACAATTTTTTGAAAAAATTTTATTTATTATAATACTATATATGTTTGTGCGCATCCTGTTGATTTTCCGCAGAAGAAAGAATGTGTGCGCTGACTAAAAATAACTGTGACAAAAAAATTTATATGTATTTGTTTTTTTTTTTGTTTCTCTCCATTAGTTGCCTGCGCTTACTGACATACATATATTTCCATAAATACAGCCATATTTGTAGTATGCACTTTCACACACACACAAATGCATGCAAATAAAGGCGGAAAGAAGCTTCTTGCAATGCTCTACTGTTGTCACAGCTGCTACATACTTCTACTTATAACTACTTATAACGTGGAATAAAGGTTTTTCCTTTTACTCATTCATTTCAGTACTTTCAAGTTAACTTGAAGCAATTTTGCGCAAAAATATGTAATATACGAAATTGCACTTAAGTGCTCACCCATTGCTACAGATGCATGCTGCATGAATATGAGAGTACATATGTATTTTTGTATGTATGTCCATATATATTATGCGCACTTATGTAGACAACTATGCTACAGCTATGAAGTAAAAATTTGCAGAAAATCTGAAATTTGAATTTCCACTTTGCTTACAGTGTTGCACGACGAACGACTGTAGTATGCCGCCAGCACACGTTGTTGCATGCTATTCTGTGGCGGCTGCATCTGTGATGGCATATAATTGCATACTTATGTATATAATCACATATGTATGTATGTATGTGTGTATGTTGCATCCACCTGCAAAGAAATTTAAATACTTGCGCAAGCTCATATGCTTATGAGTATTTGCTACTTGCTTTGGCTTTCTTTCCATTTTTCAATTTTAACACACTTTTCATTGTTTTCTCTTTTATTTTTATTTTTTTCTTAATGCCGTGGTTATTTTGTGGCTTGCAGCATGTCACTCATATTGTGACAGCCTAAATTCCATATACGTAGTAGGAGTTGCATAAGCAGATTTATTCCAATTTTGTCATCATTTGTAGCTGCAAATGTGGCAACAGTATTTTTTTTTATATTTCTTACCTGATT